CCATCTTTTGAGGCGTTCCTGCCCTGGCATTGATTACTAGTCCATAAAAAGAATCATTTCACAACAGGCTCAAACTTCAAAGTTGTAGTAATTTAGATTGTGTGAGCAATAACATGTCAGCAACAATCTTGTCCCTCAGAAGCTCCACTGGAGGAAAGTGGGAAGGAGTTTCATTTACTGGTAGTTCAGTAACCTCTTCCTGGACTTTTCAACGACACTGAGCAGTAATGTAAAGCTTTCCTAACATAAGGCTCTATCTTATCATTCATTAAAATGAATACAATCTTTTCTGGCTGTAAATAGAATAGAAAAGCACTGAATAAGCACTGAACATCACAATGATATATGGGAATATGACAGTAAATACTAAATATTAAACATTATTGTGCAGCACATAAGATCAACAGCACACAGTGTGCTTTGAGGTAGGAGCCAAAAAGGGTGTAGTTTGTGGGTGTGATCACCCGTGTGTACACCTGTGAGCATGGACGCGCTTGTTTTTAAAAGGTTCATGTAATGATCTGCTAGAGGGTGTGGGGGGGCCACAGCCCCGTCCTCCAGGGCATGAAGCAGGTATGGAGGAGATCAAGACTCCAGACATCCAGAGGCCCCCAGAACACAAGAAGAGACCAAGGAAGACCAACAGAGGGGCAGCCGCGCCACTGTCCCAGAAAGAGCTGAGGAGAGTCCCAGATGAGGGCTCACTCAGCAGCCGCGGAGCAGAAGCCAGGGGGGGTTGCAGTGACGCGCCCGTGAGCTCCGCCGGCAGCCAGCTGTGCCTGAGTGACCGAGCCCCAGGCCGAGAGCCCGGGGGCACCCCACCTCCGAAGTGGCCCGAGCGAGCCCCAGGCTCCAGGCCCCGATAAGCGGCCGCCAAGGAGTGAGTCGGTGTGTACCTGGACGCCCATCCCCGGACACAAAGAACCACCAACGCACCGACACCTGAGGGAGTCCGCCACTGGCAGGGGAAGTGGTGACTAAGGCAATTTTCACCAGGAAATAAAGTGCTTGTATTACTCCCTTCTTCTAGCTCAAAATTACTTGCCACGTGGCAAGGACCCGTCATGGTCACACTGCGAGTGGGGGATTTGGACTTTCAACTTAACCTCTTTAAAGCACGGAGAGAGGCTGAAACTGCTTCTCTAGTGAGTCTGGTAAGGGAAAGAGATGAGTTTGGGTAGGAGGTGCCAAATTCCACCAATCCCGCCTCCCTCCATTGTGATAACCAACTCCAGAAAGTGGATGTTGCTGCATTGCAACAGCATTTTGCAGATTACTCTATTTCTCTTACCATACAGAAGTGCCTGGAGGCGACTGCTCGTGAGTTGGCACAACATAAATAAAACTGAATTGAATATGCCACTGTTGAAATGTGCACATACATACAAGGAAGACAGAACCTTAGCTCAAACAAGAACAGGAAACATTTCTACTTGTAAAACTGTAACATTTGGTCTCGTATTAAAAAGGGGAGCCCAATGCTACACATTGGGAAATCAGGGAATATCATTTTTGATTAGACAATGGTTTAAGTTACTGTTCAAATGATGGCTTTTTGTTTCACTTCATACATTTTGTTCTCCAGAAGAAAGGGTATACAACATGACAACACTGTAGCCACAAATGCCTCAGAGGATGAGGAAGTAACAACTCTAAATTATCATATTTTTTCACTTCCTGCCGTTTGACTTGGTGAATGGCTTCCTGTGAGAGAAGACTTAGAGAATTGTTACACTATTTTAGGCAAATGTCTTGTCATCAATTGGCTCATGAGGATTCTGAGAAACCAGAATTTATTAAATTAATTGAATCTCCAAGTCTGTGTATATATTTAACATCCCTTTAATTATAATGAGTTTTATTGTTGTCAAAATAAAACAAAAGGCACCAAATCTTTAGAATGACACTATCAACCAAAGTTTTTTTGTTTGTTTTATATCTTAACAAAAAGCAATACTTGTCTTTACTACCCTCTTCTGTCTAAAAAAAACTAAGGATGTACAACTACAAACCTTTAACCATGAATTCGTAGGGCAGGCGTAATATACAGTACTGTGAAAAACTGTTATAAAGAACGCTTTCAGAAATATAAATGCTTGTTTATTGAACCCAAATGTATTCTGCAGCAGGACAACAACCCCAAACACGCAGCCACAGTCATTAAGAACTATCTTCTGCGTAAAGAACAAGAAGTACTGGAAGTGATGCTCCGGCCCCCACAGAGCCCTGATCCCAACATCATTGAGTGTGTCTGGGATTACATGAAGAGACAGAAGGATGTGAGGAAGCCTGCATCCACAGATCTGTGGTTAACAACCGACCAGCCGAGTTCCTTCAAAAACTCTGTGCAAGTGTACCTAGAAGAATTGATGCTGTTTTGAAGGCAAAGGGTGGTCACACCAAATACTGACTAGATTTAGATTTCTCTTTTGTTCCTTCACTTCATTTTGTTGATTGGTGAAAATAAATGATAAACACTTCCATTTTTCAAAGCATTCTTTGCTGAAAGCAGTTCTTCTCACCTGCCTAAAACCTTTGCACAGTACAGTAGGTTCTTGCCCATGGATACTATACGTATGTAAATCTAGATGGCCAGCAGTGGCAAGAATTAGTCTTGTGAGGAACTGAGAGGCTTTGAGACCATGGCTGCTCTCGGCATTTTGCCCAAAATGAGAGCACCCAAGGAGTATGAGTTATTCATGAGGTTGAGAAGTACCGGCCAGATATAATCAGGCTCACCTCAACGCACGACTTGGATTCTGAAACCAGTCTCCTGTCTCAGTCTGGAGTTGCTTGGCGAGAGGTAGCGGGCGTCCTAGTATCCCCTTAGCTTGCTGCCTGCACATTGGGGTTTCTCCCGGTGAACGAGAGGGTTTGTTCCCTGCTCCTTCAGGTCAGTGAACAGGTCCCGATTGTCCTCTGTGCCTATACGCCCCCAGCCTTCTTGGGGTCCCTGGGTGGGGGGTGTGAGGGTGCTCCACCTGGGGACTCTGTTGTCCTACTGGAAGACTTCAACACTCATCTGGGCAGTGACAGTGAGACCACGAGGGAGTTTCTTACTTAGTTTCTAAAAATAAAATTGTTACTAGGCTAAAATATAACACTAAAACATTTGGAGGTTAATGACAGCCCTTTTTAGCTGTGAAATCTTGTTTCAAGCTCTCCAGTAACAACTGACACACACAGACTTCTGTTGTATACAGATTAAAACACGAGGAGTATGGTGGCACAGTGGTTAGCACTGTTGTGTCAGAGCAAGAAAGTCCTGAGCTAGAATCCAGCATCTGGGCGAGACCTAAGGGTCACATGTGGTGTAACACACACGATCAATAGTGCAAGCCATACATAAGCTAAGATTAGAAAAAAGAAAAGGGGGGAAAAACATGCGTCAAACATCTACTTCACAAGCAACTCTTTACAGTCACCAGGGTCTCCAAGGCCAAAAATAAACAGAAATCCCACTCTTCATGGAAATAAAAGAAATCCTTACACTCTAGAGCAAAACCATCCATCCAAAAGCAAGTCTCGTTCCCGGTGGGCTCCGCCAGAGTGAAACCAAGAAAGAAAAATACCAGATGGTATCATGTCCCCATACTTTATAATTCCATCAATTTTAACAAAATCCTCAAGACCATTCACTGAAATGCAGCCCCAACTATCAGTCTCCATCGTGTTTCACAGATGGCTGCAGACGCTCATTACCTCTCTTTTGATGGTGAGTTAGACCAAAAATTTCAAATTGGTTGATATGAACTGTTGCTACTTTAAGCCTAGCCACTTCCTGTTTGCTTTTCTCACAGTTCCTTACCCTTATCAGCTTCTTCACACCTACACAGAGCTTTTCTGAAGAGCCTTCGGAAATAGCTGAAGGGCTGGATTTTCTTTTATCCTATTTCTTGAGAACATGACTTCCATCTACTGGAATACTGGATACTGCTAATATGCTGTAAATTGTTTTTTGGACCTGTCACTTCTTTTGTCCCGGTGTCCTCAGTTTAAGGTCGCATTGCACGCCATAATGAGCCGAGGTTTATAACAGCCAGGTAATATGCTTTACACATCACTTTGTTGTGCAAAATACTATTTTACTTCTGTCAAAGTCATCCAGACCTGCAGCCTTTCGCTCCTTGAGCTTTCACAGCTCACTCCTCAGCTGAAGTGTAGAAAGCAACAGTATGGTGGGGGAGAGTACACACTCTAACACTCGGCCTTTGTAAATAAATGGTAACTTAATAACTAATTATTCTGTTATTTATTTGTTGACAATAAAAAGAAAAAAGAATGAATTATGTACAGCTGATAAGATAATTACATTCTGATGAGATAAGAACATTTTTTGTATTAAGGCAATTACAAAGAAAAAAAGCACAACAAGCATCTGTTGTCTGCATAATGTGAGGCTGGTCACACAACATAAGAAACATTATTAAAATATGACCCCAGAACATTACATATACATGCAGTGTGCAGGTAAAACGTTTACAGTGAACATATTTTAATCAGAACACAAATACTTTCCTGAACCTATGAGTGAACAAACTTAAATAATTACAAATACCACCCTCCCAAATGGTACATGAATGTGAGGACTTTCTTGGCCTTTCACACTGGAACATTTGCTCTTTACCTCTAATATTGCCATGACCAGACCTAGAGTACACCTTGTGCTTATCTCTGAAATACTAATAGTTTTGGCAAAACAACAGTATTTGTCATCCTGGGAAAGAAAGTCGGTCCTGTGAGTCTCTTGTGCAACCGAGTGTAATTTGAACCCTGTGAAGGCCAGTAACAACAAAAGCTGCTACTTATTAGGGAGGTGAACTGTTGAACATGCTGAATCCTTTCTGGTGTTTTACAGATCACAATAGAGAAGCAGCGAGGACCACAGAGCTTCATTTACACAAAATGTTTTATGTGTAAGAATCCGATAAAACATTTTCATGGTGAAGACTGAGAAACTTACATAATAATGTTGCACATTCGCGGATGTTAGTTTGCTGTTTACAGTTTGAGCTGCAGGTTGCATCCAGGTTCACATGGCACCGTTTAAAACAAAACTGAAGAAATTTAGCCAATATAGACTTAAACTATAACAGCCAGCAACACATTTACGACTTGCTGTCTGCTTACAGCAACAGAGTTGGAACAACAGCACTATCTTAAATCACTTAATTTAAATAATCGGTGTCTGTTGTTTCAGAGTCTCCCAGCACTGTGTCACCTCCAGAACGTATACTGAGCTTTAGGAAGACTGAAACAGGCTAAGAAACAATGATGGGGTACAGTCAGCATCAAACACCTCACAACATACTCAACCACATCTTGAACTGAATCACAACCATCAACCAAAGTTTATTCTGTGATTCAGCTTCATGGTTTTTATATTTTCGCAGAATTTTTCTGGTTTAAAGTTATGATTGTACTGAAGTATTCAGTGGTGTCCAGCTTCAAGATCATCCCTCATTGGAGACCCGGTTTGCCTCACAGGTTGCCCTGATGTCAGTGCTCCACAACCCCCAACTCTGAACACTGGCAGTCTGTCAGGGTGCATTCCCCTTGGCTCAGCTGCCATACAGAGATTGGATTATGCACCTTGCTGTTGCAACAAAACCACTACTTTCTTTTCCTCATGTTGGTCTCCAAGTGGCCCAGCTTCTCATAGGACTGGTAGAAGACTTCCAGCTCTGAGCAGCCCCAGGCCCTCCAGACACACAGGCACCACTCCATGTTTTCCTTCTGAAAACCACATACGACTGTGTCCTTCGCCACTAGCGCTGCTTCCCTCAGGATTCTGAGAGAAAGAGAGAGAAGAGGAAGTGACACAGTGTACAGTGTGTGGGAAGGGAGATAAAGTCATTTATTTGACCTCCTACTGAACTTTAAGTGTTCATATTCAGATTCAAGCTCCACAGATCAAGACTGCGCTTGCTTTGTTTTAATACACTTCCCATACTTTCATTATCTGCCATATTTGGTTTGTGAAGCAGTTCATAAGTTGGCTGCATGAAAGCCTTCTTGTAAAACTATAATATAACTTTGCTTCTAAGGCTGATAAACCTTTTCTGACTGGTTGAGAGATGTAATCCAGATTACACATTTGACAAAGCTGAAAAATAACCGGTAGGTTCAATTCAATTCAATTTTATTTATATAGCGCCAAATTACAACAAAAGTCGCCTCAAGGCGCTTCATAGGTAACAGTTGAACAGAATGTATTCATCAGTAATCAGTGAGACAAAATATTGTGTCAATGAATAAACAGTGGGTTTCTAAGATTGGTTTAACCACGTTTGGCAGAAAAGAACTATGTATCTGAAAAAAGAATAAACTAGTTAAAAAGTAAATAATACAAAGCTTTACATTTCCCATCATGTCTGGTGAAGAAGAAATGAGCTCACCCCAAATACGAACATCCAGGCGGAGTGAGGACAGCAATGACGCGGCCCTGTAGCTGATTAGCAAGTGGCTGTATTTCGATGACCATCACATCACCTCCACGCCTGCCAAACAACACACACATAGCACCCAATACATTTAGCAAAGCCTGTGTACTGTATGTCACTGAAATATAACACTTTGCTATGTTGCTGGAGAAGGTTGTACCGGGTGCTAGAAGTTCAAACCACAATTCCTAATTTAAAGATACGAACAATAATAATAATAACTTTATTTATAAAGTGCTTTCAAACAAAGTGCTGTACAACTGTTTAAAACTAAAGAGATAAAAGAAAATAATAATAATAATAATAATAGGTGGAACTATGCCTAACCTATCAAACCTGTCATGAAACAGTTTGATATGACCACGGCATTTAACATAGTTGTTAAAGGATAGCTCACCTTTGAATTCAAATACTCCTAATTATGGCTTTTTTTGGGATACATACCAATCAGCTGCAAATTAAATGTGAATTAAAATGAAAACCACGGACAAGTGATGTCAATACACTCATCATCATGTTTCCTCAGTGTTACATTGTTGCCACAGTGGCAGTAGCTTCTCAAAGCAGGATAATATCCTCAAAAACATATCAACAGCAGCTCAGAGGCCTGGCTTATCCAAGTGGGCATTCAGTCTACAATAAGCCCAAAAATGGAGGTCCCACAACATGACTCATAGGATCCAGATGTGCCAAACACCAAGTGACATAGTGGATGTAGGACATCCTGAAAGGTCCTATGAGCTTCCTCCGAAGGGTGGCTGGCCTCTCCCTTAGAGATAGGGTGAGACGTTC